AGAACAAAGGGAAGCGAGTTTTTTCGTCCTTTCGCAGAGTGTCCCGCGTCCCCTCGATAGGAGGATATATCTTTAATCCCCCCCCCCCCCCCCCTCCTCTCCGATCTCGGCAAGAAGCCCAATCGGTGCAGGCCCTTTGCGATGTTACTCTATAATCCAAAAGTAGTTCCCCCCATCCCACAACACGTTAAATCGTGGCTCGCCCCTCAAACGCCTTCAGCTCACAAGAAACCACACGAAAAGAAGCGCCCCCTCTTTGTGTCCGAGTTGCCATTCTTTATCTCAACCCATCTCCGTGTCCCATGCTCGTCACCTCCACCTTCCCAAAGGGGCCCCCAAGGGTGGAGCTGCAAACAACAGATAAAAAAGTGTCTTCGAAAAAGTACATTGTTATGATGGGTTGATGCGGACCTTGGCGAAGGCAGCTTGGGGGTCGGCTGAATAACATTACTTTGCAAGTGCATGATCAGAGCATATGCTGTAAATATGTCTCTGGACGCTACTAATTATTGCTCATCCTCCGACAGTCATTGTCACCACATACCGCAGCTGCTCTCGCTCGCACCTTCGGCACGCACCCCTCTCGTCACACCGTTCCTTTGCAATATTCCTCGGCCACAATCCCAAAGAGGTCCTCCTCCCACAAAACTTGCAATCCTGGCCCACCAAGTGGACCCCCTTTATAAAGGCGGGGGATATCTGGAGTTGAGATTGGATCAAAAACCAACGTTTCGATTCTAGGAGCACCGCGAATCCGAAACCCACCCAGTTAAGGGCAAGCCCAGGATTGGCCGAACGGTTTTGCAACTCCACTGTCGGAGCACCACATGAATGGAATGTCCTGAGGCGTCCTTCTGTAGTCCACTTGTCACTCAGCACAAGGGCGGATATTTCCTTAAAGAAGGACACAACACGGAAGCTTCCCTTTTTGTTGCACCGTCGTCTTGCTTGACCCCATCAGCAGCAGAAAAAAGGGCTGTAATTGTTTCCCGTTTATACGAACCCCGGCCAGTTGATGGCAGCGCAGGGGTCGAACAACTTTGCGGCTGCACTATCGGAGCAACTGTTTGAATGGAAGGTTCTCTCCGCTGCCCTCGCTTGCACCTTGAATCCCCCCCCTCCCCCTTCTCTATTCTCGGCATGAACCCCACTCGCCGCACCTCCATGTTCGTCTTCAACGCTCTGTGATCATCCCAAGGTTCTCCTTTCACAACTTCCTTGTGATGCACACGTTGTGAATAGAGACTTCATGGGATTCGTTCCAAATGGAGGGGGGAGATAGCTGGAGTTGCGATTGAATCAGTGTCTTGGAAATCAAAAAAAGCCGATCGAATCATAGGGCTGGTCTTCGATGCAGACCCCGGCCAACCCAGGGTCGGCCGAACGCCTTTGCAACTGCACTATCGGAGCACCCGCAAGGAAGTTAAATCCCCTACCCTTCTCCGGCCTCGGCATGATCCCCATCAGCCGCACCGCCATGTTTCGCTACAATGATTTGGGATCATCCCAAGGAGGTTGTCCTTCGACACCATGCGATGAATGCGTTATGAATGGAGACTTTGTGGGATTCGTTCCTAATGGAGGGAGAGGGATGGCTGGGGTAATTCAATCGGATCATTGTCTGCTATATAAGCGGCGTATCCAATACAGACCTTTGATGCGAACCCCGGCCAGGCTGCCCAGGGTCGGCTGAACGCCTTGGAAACTCTACTATCGGAGCACCTGCAAGGGAAAGTCTCGAGGCAGACCTCTAATGTATAGTCCACTTGTCGCCCTCCACAAGGAAACTTGGCGCAGGTGTATATGTTCCGAAAAGATACCAGCACAAGAACCTTCTCCTTTTGTTGTCCCGTCGCCCCGATTGGCCCCAACACCAGCAGAACAAGAAAGGTCGTCGGAATTTTTCGCTTGCAGCTAATCGGAGCCCCACACGGTCGGTCAAACTTACGCTTGACCTTAACCCCCCCTCTTCTCCTTGTCTCGACATGAACCCCAGTCGCCGCACCGGCCCTTTTCCACGTTTCTCTACAATAAGTTGGGCTCATCCCAATGGGGTTCTCCTTCCACAACTTCCCCCAAAAAAAAACCCGACCAGAAGTTTCCTTTGTTTTCTCGTCGCTGCACTTGACCCCAACACCATCAGAAAAAAAGGTGAAAGGTGATTGAAAAGGTGTGCCTACGCCGATTGATATGGGGAATTAGCTCAGATGGCAGAGCGCTCGCATAGCATGTAATGCTACCATGCGAGAGGCAGGGGGACCGACACCCCCATTCTGCAATAAATCTCTTTTTCCATCTCTTCTCCAGTGGATCAACAGGCGGTTGCACAGTGCAAACGGGAGACGGTAGTTCCCTGACTTAAAAACGAGAACCAGACCAATGCTTCAAGTAATCAGTCCCGTTTCCATCCTTCGCACGATAAGAGACAGTCTGAGCCACCGCTCTCTCTCCTTAGTTCACCCGGCTGCAATGACTGCAACCTTCGTCATGGGAGAGGGGATTCTGGATTGGCTCGAGTTGCAAAACCGAAACCATCCTCGAAACCCTCGCACGCACGCCGCACGAGCTGCGATATTTCACGTCGAGCAAGCTCGAGATCTCATGGTAAATAGCCAGCTGCAAGCATCTCCAACAGATCCGTCCGTCGCCGATCGGTCTGGCCACTGCCGACTAGTATCGGTCCAAGGCTGCGATGTCGTGGGCGAGGGGTGGGGGTCTTGCCTAGTTGTCAATCAAAAATATTCATTTTGCTTTTCGCTCATTTTGTTTTCCCCAGCTCGGCCCGGCGTCGTCCATTTCCATTTCCTTCCCCCGCTCCATACTTATCCTCTCTTTCCTCTTGGATTTTGAAATGACGTAAAAAGTAAAGGAGAAACGGGAATTTGTGGGCGGGGCACGAATGACTGCCAGACGTGCTCTTGGTTATCGACTTGGTCCGCCCGTTGACTCGTGCAACTGCCGCTTTACCCCCTCCCCCCCATCGCCAGCCTGACAATCGAGTTCCATTCCAATGTCGATCGCTCTGTGATTTTAACTGCTGAATCCGGTCTTCTTCTGTGATGGACCCTCTTCCCCACCCACATCACGCCTAGGGGGCTGTTGAGTCCCGCTAGGTTTCCCTTACTGCATTGTATGAAGGCTTCCATTTTACTTAATTTATCATCGTCGCACGGGTTTGCCGGTGGCTTGCAAGTATCGACCTTTTCCCGTCGCGTCGTCGCCATTGGCCTCCATGCGACTTTCCCCCATACTTTCCTCAGTCTTTCCCCCCAAAGGCCAAACTGAACAAGACATCCTTTCCACGTTAGAGCTCAGTCTTCTGAAACACCAGGTTCCACCTTACTGTTCATTTGCGATCGTCAGCGGTGCCAGATCGGAGATTCGGCACCGGCCCGGAGGCAAGAGGTACTCTGGAAGCCCAGCTTCCTCGCTATATAAAAAGGGTTGCCTCCGTTCCCATCCTCCATCCAGTCTCCTCCGGTCACCCTCCTCATATTCTCGCTCCCCTAACCATGCTTTCCCGTATCCTCTGGGCTGCTGTTGCCCTCGCTGCTACGGCTTCCCTCGTGTCAGCCCATACGGGTTCCACCTCCCCTCCAAGGAAGTCCACGCCGGCTATGCCAACCCGCAGGACAAGAACAGACAGGTCAAGATCGTCTTCACCACCAACCACCTCGCCGTCAACCTCGACAACGTCGCCAACATCGTCAAGATCCTCTGCATCGAAAGCACCGTGATGATCAAGATGAAGGACAGCTCCTCTGTCCACGGATTCACGTCCTTGGTCACTGCTGGGCACGCGATCCTCATCAACGGCCATTGGGAGTGCGGATCGACCGACGCCACGTGGCGCACGGTCGTCAAGGGCACCCCCAACGGCAACGTGATTACCTCCGAGACGAGCCCGATGCAGCCCATGAGCACGCTTGCCGCTGACTACCAGCTCGACGTCGTCAACGCCGCTGGTGCGCCCGTCCACACGTTCTCCAAGACGAAGAACATCAACCTCAGGATCCCGAGCAAGGTCACGCAGAACCCACTTCTTGTCTATACCGAGAACAACCTCCTGGCCCACCTGCCGCCGAAGGTAGAGGCCGTTCGCGCAGAGGTCCCGTTCATCAGCTGCACGGACTGCTCGCTGACAGGGAAGGTCACTTTCTCGTTCAACGTGAGTGTCGTCTCCTGGTCTCAATGGTGGTGTGCGCTGAAAGTGTTGGGTTTGGGACGAGAGTGGGGATCTTCCAGCACTGATTCTATCTTCTCTTCAACACTCATTCCTTCACCCTTCCACCTCCTCCCTATCAAAAAAACGCTGGCACGCGGCAAGTCCGGTGCGGAGAAGCCCTACATCTCGGCGGCTATTTCGCGTAACCTCGATGGCAACTTCGACGTCGCCATCACCACCCCTGCCATGACCAAGCA